TCCAGAGGTGATTCCTCGTTGACGGACTCATAGTGAAGTTTGTCCTGGCTCAGAGTAAAGAATTCTTCGTTGAAGCTCTACATTTTATTAGTACTGGAAATGAAAGCTGAGAAGATCAAGACGCACCTGGTTGAGGCCCCATTCAGGAAATGCCATGTTGATATTGCTTGGGAAAGTAAGCAGCTCTTTACACGCCCGTTGCTGCTGTCAAGGTCTTGACGTGACGTGGGAATGTGCAGGCAGGGCTCGGTGCTGGTGATTTAGGCTCCTGCTGGGAAAGTCAATATTGAGACAACTAAGGGTGCTCGTGATAAACAGGGCCGTGCTGGGGGAGAATTTGGTGTTTTCATGGGTCAAATTCGTGGAGCCTGTTGTCGTGAATGCTTTTAGAGGATATGAAGAAATTCTACACGTACAAGAGTAGTGGTGACTCGTGGTCCAGATCGAGGCGCAAGGGAACAGGGGAGGAACAAGCGAGCAAGTAAAACTAGAAATTTAAAAGCAGGAGTTGATTAAGTGAGTAAAGAAATAAAAAACAGATGAAAGAGATGGGATGCCGGGCTTAAATAATCATAGATTCAGAAAGTAAAGTGAGCCGAGAGTAAAGTGAAGTTTATCTGCACAGCTGGCAGCTGGCGGCGGCAGGGGTCGGCCCTAAGCCTCGAATGCATTTGAACCCGTGCTCCCATTCATATTCATACATGTATCAAGTGGCTACATGTACGTTATTGTTGCTGCGGCTCAATTCACAGGTCAAGTTGTCTGGCTCTTTCCGGTTTTCTTGATGCAGTGATGGACCGTTTCGTTCCTCGCGGTCCCCTTCTCCACCAGGCCAATACAGTGAATTAAGTGGAAATAGCATTCTGCTTCTTTTTCCAAGTGAGACCTTTGCCTCTTTTGGTTCATTGAGCCCCAGAAGCTTGGGCACATGCCGGGGGGCTGAGGCACCAAGATCCCAAAGGGATGGTTCAGGTGTCTGGTGTAACTTATGGATTGCCGGCTCTGTTGCTGGTATGCACCGGAATCGTGGCGGTCAAGGGTTCACAGTTTGATTTTAGTGCCAGCTGCATGAGATCCTGGTCGTGCCACGAACCTTGTCTTGGATACGTTTTGCTCTTCTTCTAGCTAGCACTGAGTATGACCTTGCTGCTTAGCTGCCTTGTACTTTCATAGACTATATCCCGTAGAGCTAAACCCCTTATTCTACCTCAAATAAGGGAAATCATGTTTGAAGCAACATTTTGAAAGTTGGTTCGTGGGATACACCACCCATCTAGATTCTACTCCCAGTACTGTAGTTGCTAGAGACAGCCCGAGCCACATCCTTGCCACAGCTCAAACGTTTCTATCAATCATTTCCAGAGCGTCCATGGAATTCATTAAACCGGCCAGGGATTCTGCATGGCGAGTTGAGAAGTCGGCTTCTGGTCCGGCCTGCCTGGCTCGCACACAGGATACAACGCCAGCTCACCAGGTGGCAATGGCCAGAAGTTCAGTGCCTTAACGTTCCTTGGCCTCTTTTCCCATCGCCATATTGTTCCACAGATTTACTCGTTGCAATGCCCGTCTCTTCTCTTGAACAGAAACACAACACAACACAACAGACAGACGGCGCCACACATTGATCCAAAACCGTCTGGCCAAGAAGCTCTCCATACTCCGTCTTCCATACTGCCAGATATCGCGTCTCCCCGTTACACCATGTCTCGCGGGTGGCGATACCGAACCACCCACCCAGCCCGAAATCATCTCGTGCGTTGCGCCAAAGCCAACCACCACGAATCCCTTTTTGGCACTCGCCACATTTTCTCCCACCGGGGGGTGTTCCGGAATGCCGGCAAGTGGATTCCCAAATGCCCAATATGCAAGTCATTGTTCCCAGAGGTGGTACAAGCGGCTGCCGGGAAGAAGAGCCATGGCCAGCCAAAATGGGCCAGTGACGTCTCTTGACAAACAGTTCGCCGTCCAGTCTTTTTCCTCTCCGCGCCCTGACTGCGCGGATTTCATTGTCGCGTCTTCCTTGCACCTTCCGGATACGCCAACGGCTGACGAGTTTCGAAATACATGCTCGCTCGCCAAGTCGTGGGACGCCATCGCAACGAGCTGCAAAACGACCCAACTCGACGCTGTGGGAACTGCTTCCAAGTTACACAAGACAATCCATGTATATCGCGTCCAAAAAGGGTTTTTACTTGGCGCCACAAGAGTTGCCGCATCAAACCCGGCACGTAGGGCGACCAATCCAAACGGCAACCGCTGGCCCGGGACTCTTTTATTGCGAGGGCACGGTTCTGACTCAGAAATTTCCTGGAGACCCAGATTTCCCATGTCCAAAATCGTCCTTGGGCCATGCAGGCTTCCATGTTTGGCGAATGGCGTGGCTGGGAAACGGGCTGCGAGAAAATTCTACCACGGAACGGGGTTCGTGGCGGCGCACCATGTAGACGCGGCGGTTTTCTTTTTTTGGCACTCGACACAAACGGAATATGCCATTTTCGTCAATTCTACGCAGATATTTACCGATTTGATAGCAGCGTGGTGCCAGCCAACTTGGCTTGGTTTTTGTTGGCTCACGTCAGGGGGGAGGGAGTCCGAATCTTGCGTGGCACGCCTTGGGTGCCGTCGCAAGTCCCAAACTCTTGCGTCCCCTCGGAAATTCACTTCAACTGGGCAATTATTGCTGAGGAACCGTGGCAAGATGGTCTCTAGACTTGTGGCAGTTGTCCAACCGTGGAGGTCAAGTATTTGAGACTCAGTCGTGGCAAGGAAGCTGCGGTTGTACCAGGGTTGGTTTCCTCAAAGGCTGGACATGAGGGCAAAGATAACTTATAACAGTACTTGGCGGCGTGTAATCATACCTGCCTGGTAGGTACTAGTTATGTAAACTGTTCGAGGACATGGCCATGCTGTTCAATAACTTGTGCGCGTACGTGTCACCCTGCCGTGTTAGTCGACTGCAAAGACACCATTTTGGACGTCAACTGGTGAGCCATTGTCCATGTCGGGAAATGGCAGCGTTTAGCATCTTCCACGACGGTCAGGAGCTCAAGGCTTTTGGCCGCGACGCATGCCCTGGTCTATATGGAGGCGAGAATTCACCCATGTCTTGGATCATCACCGAGCCAACGTCATGTCGTACAGGAGTCAGCAGACTCGGCACAGGGTTGTCATCATCTCACGTAAGGCTAGATAAGAACTCTTCAGACGAGGGCATGTACAAACTCGACATTGCAAACATCCTTGGCTCATCTCATCATCGTAGGCTGCGATGAAGCCCTCTACATTCCTAGGCGGTTCCCTGGCTGCGTCTTCCTCAGGAGCAGTCTCCAATCCATCAACGAGCAAGATCGACGTCCATGCTCATTTCATCCCCGACTTCTACGCCCAGGCGCTTCGAGATGCCGGGCACATACCCGGTCCCGATGGCATGCCCGCCATCCCGGTTTGTCTTCCTCACCCATCACACCAAGACGCCCTTCGTCCCTAACACCCTCTCCTCCGCCATCTAGGCCTGGGACCCCGATACACACCTGGACTTTATGCATGCGCAAAACATCACCAAGGCCTACTTATCGATTTCCAGTCCTGGCGTCTATCTCACCGTGCCCTCGACCATCGCAACCACCAATGCCACAAGGCTCGCCCGCCAGGTCAATGAATACGCATCGCGCCTCAAGGCTCAACACCCCCATCGATTCGGCTTCTTCGCGTCGCTCCCGCTCCCAGATATCCAGGCCGCCCTCGACGAAATCCACCACTGCTTCCACGAGCTCGACCCAAAACCAGACGGCGTCGTCCTCATGTCCAACTACTACGGCATGTACCTCGGCGACCCGGCCCTGAGCCCCGTCTACAATGCGCTGGACGAGCTGAACGCCACCGTCTTCGAGCACCCGACGACGCCGTGCACTGAGCATAACCACGTACGATTTCACACCAACGGCGAAGCGCCCCCCGTCGCGCAAAAGGAATGGCAGGCGCTGAACCGGCCCGTGGCGAATCGACAACTCGCCGCGCCGACGCTCGACTTTCCCTTCGACACGGCGCGCACATTCGCCGACCTCTTGTACTCCAAGGTGCCGGGCCGCTTCGCACGCATCAAATGGATCATCCCGCACGCGGGGGGCGGCCTGATTCCCACCCTCGACCGCGTCGTCGGCTACAGCTCGCTGTACCCCGGGCTCAACCTGACGCAGGCGTTTGTGAGGGAGACGCTCGCGAGGAGCTTCTACTTTGACCTTGCGGGCCCGTGGCCAGCCAGGTTTGCTATTCCGTCGCTTGTGCGATGGGTCGATTATACGAATATCGTGTGGGGGTCGGATACGCCCTTTACGCCTTGGGCCATGGCGGCCGCGGGAATATCTGCATTTGACGGGGACGTGGAGGAAGTATTTGGCGGTGAGGAGGAAAAGGCCCGCGCTGTGAGATTCGGCAACGCACATGGGCTTTTTGAAAGTCTAGTTTGAGGGTTCTTGTCACGGGAGTGTGAGTCTACGAGACTGCTTTGAGTGGGGATTTTGTTGAGGCAATAATTGAGAAGGCTTGCTTGGCTGATGATAATATATTGACACGACTTTGAATATATGACGATTCCTAGTACAATTTGCCCGCCGACGTGAAGAGGAAAAACTAGACGCGCAAGCACTCATCCTTGGACGGGCACCCCGACATAAAGGGCTTTTTGCAGCCCAAGCCCAAAAGTAAACATGGTCGCGAAGCCAGTGAAGCCTTTTGCATCATGCTATGCGCAAACAGAAATTATAGCAATCTGCCGGATCGGATACTTCCAGAGTACAGAGCAGATCAGACAAGATGGTAAAGATGAGATGGGCAACTCCAAGATGATTCGTGTCGTGAAAGCCCGTCGAAACCGGCCAGTCTGGACGTAGATTCATTCGTCCAAGGAGTAGCACAACGGCTCTTGCTGTCGGGACCAGCATGACCGAATGGCATTGCCCAAACGGGCAGAAGCAGCTTTCAACAGAGTCGACACCGAATTACTAGGCTTTCCGGGACACTTCCTGCGACGCCTTCTTCTGCTGTTCGACCAAAATGTCGACAACTTTGGGCGCAAACTTGATGGATTCCTTCAACATCTTCGCTATCAACTTTGTTCCTGATCGTTCGGTAGTTTTGTCGCCGTCTTTCGCTCCAGCCCTAGAAGGTGTGGCAGCCACAGGCGATGAGATGGATTCTGTCGCGTCGTCGCTGCTCGTGCCGGGGCCTCGTTTTGCAGTTTGGTCGCCTTTCTTGGCTTTGCCATCAGCATACTCGGCTATTGCATGGATGAGCACGGGGGCGACTTCTTTCATGTTGTCGCTGCTCATGCTGAAGGCTCTTTGGGCATTTTTGTCGCCATTTTTCGTTTTGGTACCAACAAGCTTTTGGAAAGCACTGAGAGCCACAGGAGCGAGCTCCTTGATGTCGTCGCTGCTCATGCCGGGGGTTTGCTGGGAAGTTTTGTCGCCATTCTTCTTCTTCTTGCCGTCGTCGGCGGCAGCGTGAACAGCCCCTGCGACGAAGCGGGCGGCTGATAAGAATTTTTTGTCGCTCATGCTGGACGTTCTCTAGTTTGCAGGGCTGGTAATGCTGTTGACCTATGATGTGAGGGATGTTGGTGTTTGATGGTGTGAATGAAGGCGACGACTGCATGGGGTCCGTTTCCGTGGTTAAGTATTGTCCAGCGCGATGAATTAGTCAGGTCCTCCGGTCCCAGCAATCCTTTCAGACAATGGTAGCTGCTCAGAGTGAGCAAGAATTTCGCACAAAGACATGGTAGCGGTGTTGAAAGAGCTCAAAAAACTGGCTGCTGTGGAACAAAAGCCGGTTTTCTTGAGAGGCCGGGCAGGTTTTCGTCAACGGGCCAGAGTCCAAAGAAATTCATGTCTCTTTTTGAGCAGGGTCCGTTCTCATGGTTGGCATCACATGTCTGACGGAACTGAGCACAGTCCGTCCATGCGTAGATCCCTGGTTCTGCGTCGGTATCCAAGACCGCACAAAGAAGGACGGCGTTGGTCTTTATGCTGCCCTTAGTGAAGAAACCCGATTCAATACGAGGTCAAGTTCAAGTGTAATGAATGGTACATGTTCGAACAGGCAAGACACTCCAGCACGATACACGCATTTTGTTCCGCGATATGCAACTCGTGTCCTCCTCGTCCTTGGTGCTGCCTTCTTGCCAACCATGTAAATCCCACACACCGCCCGTAGCCTTTGTCTTCTTCAGCTTCCGTTTCCAAAGTGTCCAAGCCTTAGGCAGATGTAGAGCGGCTAGATGTCCCAAGCCAATGCCATGTTCATCGATGAACAACCGAAGCCCGTCCAGCGTTACCTAGGCACGGCACCACCCAAGTCAGCTTGTATATATGGAGCGGCATTGCTCTTCCTTTGCGTCCATTATTGTCGGATATTTCAGACTCCGTCTCTATTCAACCACAACCCAAACAGACCCTCGTACGCGGCCCAACATGCGCGCTGAAGCTTCCGCAAACAGCTTTGCGCAAGCCGATACTCTGGATGCAAACCAGAATCCTTCCGGTAGACAAAATCGATCCGTGCTTGCACATGATCCAGCGATGGATTCGCAACGCGGAACCCCGAAATTCGACTGCAATCAAGTCCCCCATCGACAAACCACGGATGCCCCTCGTGGTCCAGCTCGCCAACAAGGACAACAAACCACGGGTACCAATCAAGAAGTCTACGTACCATTCCTCGATTCTCGATTCTACCGACGACGACAGCCCAATGCCGTTCGAGTCGTCAGAACGCGTCATGATTCCCGTCGAGTCCTTGTAATAAGCGGTGATGCCCGTCGTCTAGACAATCGTGTTGGTAAAAAAGTCTCACGCGATCGGTGTCTCCATGGCCCCTGGGTCCCACCTTATGGTGCCAAAGATTATTATCCTAGGCTTCATAGATGGTAATTGGGGCTGGGGCCGCAATAGCCTGGACGTCTCGAGACTGAACAGCGAGTTCCTCACCATGACGGTATGACAACAAAACATTTTAATCGAGAGTGGAGATACTGACGATAAATGTCACATAGATCGATGGCGCCAAGGAAATAGCCACCACCAGCCAAGCTATTGGTTGCACCGCTGGAGAACAGAGCGCAGGCCACTAGGCCACGCTACAAATGGCCTCTCGCATGTTGCTCGCAGCAGTTTCGATTCCATCAATCGCTGATACTCTCACGGGACAGTGCCCTTGTTCCAGGGACGAGGCAGGAGACGGGAAGGATATTACGTTCAACCAGCCATGTCACGCCTCCGAGCAAAACGTGGCTCACTGCGTTCAGAGGAAATTGTGCAAGATTTCGTCTAGTATACTTAGATCTGCGCTGCTTAGCACCGTCAAATAAACAGAGAAAAAAGTCTTTCTCCATGTCCCATCCCAAAAACGCCAGATATGCCGACAAAAACGGTACAAATCGCGTGCTTCGGCACCGTCGTAGAAGAAGGTATACCCTAGTACATACGAGAAATGTGATTCAAAGAATAATCCTTACTTGAAACAGTTTAATCGTCCCATTCCTCGTCCAACTGGTCAATGAGTCGGTTTTCTGCGTCAGAGTTTCGATTTCGTGGACTCGAACTGAGATGGCTGTAGCCTCGTCGGCCGGGAAGACACCTTGCACACGAGGAAAATGCAATGACGAACATATCCTAGGACTCATGGTTAGTATCTTGCGCCCTAGGCGGTGTCTGCCAGGTATACGCACACTAAAGAAACTCCAAATACCTGCCCAGAGACTATAATTCGGCAATTGGCGCCATCCTCGTGCGTTGGAGATGGTTCGATTGTAGAATACACCACCGAGGACGTACACAAGGAAAGCGACAACCAAAATGATGCCAAACACGCTGCCAGGGCCTACACTTCCTGGCTTGTGTGGCTCTGCTTGCGCACATGCGTGAATAGAGCGGCCCTCGAAAAAGTATGAGCACTCATCTTCGTCGACACCAACGAACGATATGCTTGCTTGGGAGCTGGAGGGGTCTCGGTCACAAAGGAAGGAAATGGTGGTGGACTTTCTTCTTGACGATTTCTCTTCCTTGTCGTCTTTCAGGGTTTCCACCTGGTGAGGCTGGTTGGTCAAGGCCGACTCCTTGTTTGCGTAATTGTAGTTGGCTGAGGGCGATGAAGGAGTCCGGGTACTCTTGTTCGATTTGGTGGTACCGCACGGCGAGCCACCGGTATACTGCAAGACCAGCTTGCGGCCACGACTCACCAAGTCCATCGATTCGGATCTGAGCAAGACGGTTAGTATCCCGAATACTCTGGTCGCAATCATTCGCCAGACCAACCCTATAGAATAGATGCTTCCATGAGACATGTAGTATGCGCTGACGTTGGTCCATTGGCTCTTGGAGACTCCCACGACCTCAGTTACGGGGTCCACAACCGCTCCGCATATGTTCAGAGTAAAGTTCTTGCCATAATCATAGCCTCTCGCATGGTAGTCTTTTGCAAGGGCCGTCTTGTGCTGCTTTCCCTTCTCGGAAGGGTGAGCTGTATCAGGTCGCAGGTCGAAGAAACCGCCTGTCCCGGAGGACGCAGTCGCAGTGCACGCTGGCGCATGCGTGGTCGATGATGGGGCTTCTTTCGCGGCGGCAAACGAAGCGACCACCAGTGCCGAACTTAAGAAACTCGTTCGCATCTTGTAGGAGGTGAGGCGATTGTCGTGGCTTCGCAGGGAACGTGCTCGATGAGGTTGGATGAGCGCTCACGGCGCGGCGATAGAGTACTGTCTGGTTGGAGCCTTATCATTAATTGCTCTCTGGACATTGACCAAAAATAGGAAGAAAAAGAAGAAGAATCTACAAAATAAGCCAAATAGATTGGAACAAGCGATTTGCAGTGAAAAGTGTAGGCGGGAGCGAACGACACTAAAGGTTGGTCGGTGCCTTTGGTGAAAAGTCTCAGCCACTAGGCTGCTCCGCGATTTGTTCTAGGTTGCGACAACTGGCCACATGAAGTGGGCGAATAAGCTCCCAGCCTAGGCTGTGCACATGCAACTTGACTTCAGGCAGACTTGAGAGAAGGTGCGACCGAACGCAGCCACATAACTAACCGTCTAAGCTCCCGCTTAGTGCGTGTGGCTTCATGTTCGCCCGCCCCGGCAAAATAATTCATCCGGCTGGCTACCTGCTGGGCTTGGGCTCATCTCCCTGCCGGGAGAGCTAAGCCGCTTCGGGTTCAATGCTGTCATTGAACCCTCGCTGAGACGATGCGGATCCCTAGCTTCAATCAGAAGTTTGCGACCTTCATCGGATTCAGGAGGAGCCGGGCCAGTCTTCGCACACCTGGTCGTCACGTCTTCAAGCGCTCGTCGTACAGTCATTGAAAGCCTACAGTCGGCCTTAAATAGGCGCTGGGCTTCCTTTTTCTACTGCATATTGGCCAGCCCTCCATCTAGGCGTTTCGAACTGCTTCGCGGCAATACTCGTCATACAGCTCGCAACATGTCCTCATCAAAAACTGCGGCCAAGTCTGCACCTCCGGCTAAGCACGGATACGAGTTCTTCGGCCCGTAAGTCGTCTATAGCCATTAACACTAGAGTGTGCTCTGATTGGATTTTTTTCTTAGCCCCGGCGCCTTTGGCATCTCGTTTGGTCTACCCATCCTCGTCTACGTCTTCACTTTCGTGTGCAACGACATATCCGGATGCCCTGCGCCATCGCTGCTAGGTCCGCGCCCCTTGTCACTAGAGCAGTTGAAGATTGAAGTCGGTTGGCCACAGAATGGAATATGGGGTCTCGCCAGCTGGGAAGCGACCGGTGCAGTTCTTGCCTACTACTTGCTGAACCTCATTTTATACCGCGTTTTGCCTGCGACCGAGGTAGACGGGACCGTCTTGAGCTCTGGCGGCCGTCTCAAGTACCGGTTCAACAGTATGTAGCTACACACAGCTCCCAATCGTCCGAGTGCTCAAACAGCTAATCACCCGGCAGCGTTCTACTCCAACACGGTTACTTTGGCAGCCCTCGCAGCCGGAACTGTTGCTCAAGGCGCCGAATTTCCCGTTTGGGTCTTTATCAGCGAGAACTATCTCCAGATTCTGACGGCAAATATCGGCATTTCTTATGCAATCGCCACTTTTGTGTACGTCCGCAGCTTCAGCGTCAAACCTGGAAACACGCAATTTCGCGAGCTTGCAGCCGGCGGCTGCACTGGCAACCTGCTCTATGACTGGTTCATTGGCCGCGAGCTCAACCCTCGCGTCACAATACCCTTGATTGGAGAAGTTGACCTCAAGGAGTGGTGCGAGCTGAGACCTGGCATGATGGGCTGGATCATCCTTAACTGCGCTTGGTGTGCTCAGCAGTACCGCAACTTTGGCTTCGTCACCGACAGCATCATCTGCATCACGATTGTGCAAGCCCTATACATAATAGATTCATGGTGGTTCGAGCCTGCTATTCTAACAACCATGGACATCACAACTGACGGTTTTGGCATGATGCTTGCCTTTGGCGACCTTGTCTGGGTGCCCTTTGTCTACTCCATGCAAACTCGATACCTCTCCGTGCACCCTCTGTCGCTTGGTCCCGCCGGCCTCGCAGGTACCCTTTCCCTCATTGGCCTTGGCTTCTACATCTTCCGCTCCGCCAACAGCCAGAAGAACACTTTCCGCACAAACCCCAATGACCCCAGTGTCGCTCACCTGAAGTACATTGAGACCAACACGGGCAGCAAGCTTCTAATCACAGGCTGGTGGGGAATCGCTCGTCACATCAACTATCTTGGCGATTGGATCCAGTCTTGGCCATACAGTCTCCCCACCGGACTTGCTGGCTACCAGATTCTGGCTGCTGGTGCAGGCGCCGCCGGTCAGGGCGCGTACATCATGAAGGACGGCCGTGAGGTTATTCAGGGCAATGCGCGAGGCTGGGCTATCCCCATTACCTACTTCTACATTGTATACTTTGCCGTGCTGCTTATTCATCGTGAGCGTCGCGACGACGAGAAGTGCCATCGCAAGTACGGTGAGGACTGGGATAAATACAAGAAGATTGTGCGTTGGAGAATCATCCCTGGTATTTACTAGGTGGTTGTGCAAACGAAGAAACAAAAGACAAGAGGGTCTCGATACTAGTAGGGGAAGAGTGGGAGTCTGAGTCAAACCGGACGGTTGGGCGGACTACATCTGAACATGACTTTACCACGACTGTGGTTTTTGATACGAGGGACAATGTACCCTGTTAGAGCTGTACTAATACGCTTTGCACCCTAATAAGATTGCATCAACGACAATTGTGTCTATACTGGCTTTGCGTGCCGTTTGACGTCCCTGATACTTTATCCGATCTTCAGCCCAGCAACGAAAGTGCATTAGAACAATCCAACAACAGAACCCTGCGTATCTAATATTTATGTCGTGAGTGCAGCAAATTATAAATTAAATAAGATTTAACGGATGCTTTTGGTAGGTGATGGGATGGAACAGAAGGGGAAGGGATCCTAGCTCCCGTTCGTGCAGAAGTTGGGAAGAGTAAGCAACAGCATGAGCCCAGGTGCAAGGCTAACCGACATTTCAAGACACTTTTTTTTGTAACATGAAGTTGATAAACGTCAATGAGAACTGCGTCTTGGAGAAGTCGCGAAAACTTACTGTCTGGTATGCAGTGCACATGTATAGGGTAGTGCCCTTTGTCTCGCTCGTATGAGACAATAACATTGGTCTTGGGCTAAGACAAAAAAACAATAACAACCAAACCACATGGGCCATTCAGCAGCATACTGGGCCAAATTATTAAGCCAGTGAATAAGGAATGTGTCTGTTCATTACAGTACCGGCAAATGCCCGGGGGACGTTGGATGAAATTTGCTCAGAAATTTTACAGCGGCATGCTCGAGCATCTACGAGCATCGCAAGTTTGTGCGACGGCGTGTTCTTCAGCCAAGCCTCATAATGACTTACACAAGTGGCTTGGGAAACTAACCTAAAATCAAGCCCACATACTTGGCGGCAATTATACCACATTCGATTCTGCAGCTAGTATTATATAGACCATAGTTAAGCCGAGAATCAAGGCATGTTAAGCCGGGAAGGGAAACGTCATCTAGACGCGGTTGATTGTGATGTTCCGCAGCAAGGGAAACACAGCATGCTCGCATGCTGCCGCTCGACATGGCCACCGGGGGACTCCCTGCTGTGTTATTCACCAGTTTATGAGTCATGAGTCATGACTACTTACCTGGTACGTTTTTGTGGTTTACGCTCTGTTGTGAGCGCCATTATATTTCGCCGACAGACGGCTTTACTCCGTAGACGACTTGGACAGGCGGTTGACGAGACCATGAAACAAGTTTGTCCGGGTACGCGAGGCGAAGTGCCGACTGGTCCCCATGCTTCCCCACTGTGACTGATTCTCTGAGGAGAGCCGGAGAAATCGTGGGCAGTCAATCATACCACGTGTGGTCCGTCCCATGACCATTCTTATTTGGCCAAGCTTTTGCGCTTCCGAGCTTTTACCAAAATCTGGACAACAAAAGGGCGATCATGAGCGAGCGAAGCTCCCCGACTATACTATTGTGTAAGGCGTGCAAACGGCCCGAAAAGAACGCACGCTAACTGTTCGGGATCCCACCAGACTCTCCGAGGCAGAACAACATTGCGGGGATAAAGTTGGGGGGGTTAGGAGGTATGTACAGCAATGCGGAGTAGGAACGATTAAAGCCCCTGTCGGCTGTCAGTGGCGGTCGGGGATGGTACGTGTGTAATTTCCTCCAGATGCCGGCGTCCAAGTCGGGGAATAGCGGCCGCAGTACAACGCGGGCCAAATGACTGTTTCAAGCACATTCGATATATTTGATGAACTGTGGTACGTGACTACGGAGTACCGTCATCCGCAATTGTCAATATTACATGCCCAGAGTTGACTGCATTGCAGAATCGAGATTCCTGGTTCCTTGCTAAGACAATGCGGGAATGATTGACCAGGCACCAGTGCACAAGTATAAACAATCATGCACGTAACACAGGCGTAGTATAGTCAACCCATCCGGGCCAAGGCTAAGCTGGACTGATTCAAGTCGATTGACGGAGCTGAATCCCGACAACTTCCCGAATGGAATCTGTCGGCTAGTGGCCAAGCCGTGTTGTTAATGGACGCCAGTTTTTGTGTATAGAGACGTGGTGGAGAATGGTGTTATGACTATCGTAGTGGTAATGCTAAAGGTGTACAGAGTACTCCTTAGGAACATTTATTTCGGAGTCCGTTCCGAGGGTCGGTAGTACAAGCTTGTTCATATCGGGTAGGTGTTGTGTCTTGTAGATTGAAGGGATAGCAACTATGCTCTTCATGCGTGGAGCAGACCAAATGGGTTGAATCCATGTTCGCATTGTAAGAGGAGAGGCGATGTTCCTGAGGGTTTCAGACCGACGACGATCGAAGCCAACTTGTCGAGTACCGCTCTCTGTCAAAATATTGAATCGGATTCTTCTATAATATTTTGCGTCATGGGTTACTGAATTCCTCATACGGCATATTGATATCAGCGGGAGATGCATGGACCAGAAATAGGCGAGAATATTGTACTGTGCGTACTGATGCAGGATCGTTATGGAGTGACGCAGCGGGGCCATGATACCAAGCTGGGCGTTTCCATCGTGTCATCGACAACCCTTCGCTGGACATGTCCCCGCGTTAATGCAACCTAGACGATGTTCGGAGCCCTGATAACTCGCGTGGGATGTTAAGTTGACGCATGGCGTTGGACAGGGGTTGAAGCACCCTTTATTAGAGATTATCTGGATAGCCATCATGATGGTGCGTCTCGGTTTAACTCCGTGGCTTGGCCGAAACCTTGGAAGAAAACGGTGCCAATGTGATGAACACACCGTCTGCCATGTGTGAAAGTATTATCGGCCCTTTTCTGCTTGCTCTGTATTTCTTGCATAGAAAATTGTCGGAGTATTTGTCGTCAGCATGTTTTCTAGCTGACATTGATCGATCTAAAGTGGAGATAGCCTGGTAGGGCAGCAGATGCCATTACATGGCCATGTACGGAGTAGTTGTTGGCCTACAGAGCAGACAATAATAGATGAACTGGGTGCTTTGTGGCGGTTGATAAAGCGCGGAGATTGGATTGGCCGTTGATGTCTGAGCAGGATGCAGTAGAAAAGCCATTGTCCGACTTACAATGTATTGACAATGTGCAAGGCTTGGCATGAGCCCTCAATGCCATTGTCAACAACTGTCAGCTAGCTGTTCATCAGCTGCACAACTTTATTTAGATTGCGCACAAGTACCTCGGTGGCTGAGGCGCACAATTGTCACAGCCAGCCGAACGCCACCGGGCGGTCCACGGCGGTGGCTTGATGGCGGCATTCACATAGAAAGCCTGGCTCTCAACTGGCGACATTGAATGATGCCGGGTGAGGCTAGCAGAGCTAAGCACGCGGTGGGCGACGCCAACCCCCCGCTAATCCTGTTTCTATGAACCTTCAAATGTTCCAACATTCAAACATGAAGGCTCGGGAACAAGAGTTATGTCTGATACCTCTAGACCGCAGGGTGCCCTCTATGCCCCACACGTCCTTGAGGGTCCATGTCTCGTCCAAAGTCAAATGCTCGTGTCGAGCCAAGGCCTGCGTCTTCCCAACGGCCGAGTATTTCTTCCAAGAATGAATAATGGGACACGATTGTACTACACTAGGAGGCTTGAGGTGGCCTGCGATAGTGGAAGTGGTTCCCCTGCACGTCAGACTAACCGACCAGAGTTCAATCCAGTTCCTAAGACATGCATTAATTGCTGCTATGCACGGAGAACCGAGGATGTACCCCGTACATGCATGCAAACTGGAGCAAACCACACCACAGCAAACGGCTCCACCTCGCCAAGTCCAAAGGGAAACTTGGGTAAGTACATGGAAGTGTCTGGCGTACATACTCCATCCGTACTCCGTATTGATGGATTAATATTAGTCTTGGTATTAGCATCGAGTGTGTTGTACGAGGGCACGAGTGCAGTACGCCGCCGGCGCGCGTAGCGTGGAATTCATGCACGGGGCTCCATCACGACATGCCTTGCCATGCTTCCTCGACCCGGATTCCGCATTGCATCGCGGGCCGTGAAAAGAAAGAACGACAAACGCAAACATGCTCCACCTACCAGCAAAAGAAAGTAACTTGACCGTCTCGCCCAAGGCTCGCGTGGCCCGTTCACACCCAACATTGGCACCATGACGACAATCCAAATCCACATGACCGCTCATGCCCCCGGTCCTCTTGTCCTTCACCTTGACGGTTGTCGTGCCGGGGCGAACTGAGACCTCTGGCGCAAATCTTATATGAAGCCCATGTTGCCCACCCTCCTGGACAGATGATTTTTTTCTTCGAGCCAGTCGTCGTCGTCAACTCAAGTTCGCGACTCTGTTCCTCGTCGTCTTCTGGACGAGAATACGGGTCAGAAACGAACAAGACCTGCGCTAGTTCAAACATCGCGACGACATCATGAAGTCATTGTCCATCTTTGCAGCGGCTCTACTCACTGCTGTGGTAGATGCTGGCCTGTCAACACCGGGACACTTCCACAAGGTAAGCCTGCCGTTCGTTTGGAGCACACGGCCATGGTCAGTTGTGGCCGGAATCTGTCTTCTCCTCTTCTCCTTGCTTCTCTACCTCTGCCCGGCAACCTTCAGCATGCCTCTTGGCGGATCCGATGGACCGATCCGCCCAGATTTACCCCAATCCAACCACCCGGCAGATTCAAGATCCCCACTTTCAGCCTGAACACGAGCAAGCCATGGCAGACCGGTGCCTGGTTGTTCTTCTCCATGCATTCCTTGTGTAGTGTGGGTTGCGCCCTGTGGGGTGGGGAAACCTACCTTGGATCGACAAAACACAGCCTTCGCGCCTCAACGACGGAGAGCCATTCAACATGACGCGGGTTCTTGTCGTTGTGGGAGCTCTAGTCGCTCTGCCCAGCTCCATTGCTATAGGTTTTGACGATTTTTATGGCTTCGCTGACACTCAGATCCTGTTGCAGCTTGATGCCCGAGCCGAACTTGCCACCTCCCCTCCCCACTATCCGTCGCCATGGATGAATCCACAGGCTCCAGGCTGGGAAGACGCCTACAAACAGGCCAGGGACTTTGTGTCGCGCATGACTCTGGCTGAGAAGGTCAATTTGACGACTGGTACCGGGTGAGTATCGAAGCCCACGGCAAACACCACTTTGTACTTACATGTCTCATAGATGGATGAGCGACAACTGCGTTGGTAATAGTGGAGCTGTTCCGCGGTTGGGCCTCCGGGCTCTGTGTCTGCAGGACGGCCCATTAGGTATTCGTCTTTCCGACTACAATAGCGCTTTCCCTGCTGGGATTACTGCTGGTGCGACATGGTCGGAGCATCTTTGGAGAGACCGTGGAAAGGCATTGGGTGCTGAGTCTAGGGACAAGGGTATTGATATCGCTCTTGGTCCTGCCAGTGGCCCTCTTGGCCGGGCCCCTACTGGTGGCCGTAACGCTGAGGGATTCGGTTCTGATCCCTACCTTCAGGGCAAGGGACTTGCCAATACTGTTATTGGTATTCAGGAGTCGGGCGTCATTGCTTGCGCCAAGCATTTCATCGCCAATGAGCAAGGTAAAGAACCTACACGGCTTGACTTGGCAGGGAAGTGATGGGGGTTGGCTTGAGCTAACGATTTCGCAGAACATTTTCGACAAGCTGGCGAGTCTGTTCCACGAGGATTCAACATTTCCGAGAGTCTTTCTTCCAATGTTGACGACAAGACTCTACACGAAGATTACGCTTGGCCATTTGCCGATGCCATCAGGGCTGGAGTTGGTTCCATCATGTGCTCCTATAACCAGATCAACAACTCCTACGCGTGCCAGAACTCAAAGCTCCTCAATGGAATTCTCAAGGACGAAATGGGCTTCCAAGGATTTGTAATGAGTGACTGGCAGGCCCAGCATGGGGGTGCCGCCACTGCAGTTGCTGGCCTCGACATGAGCATGCCTGGTGATACCGAGTTCAACACTGGCTATAGTTTCTGGGGCGGAAACTTGACCCTTGCTGTCATCAATGGCACCGTCCCCGCCTATCGTATCGACGACATGGCCATGCGAATCATGGCTTCTTTCTTCAAGGTTGGTATGAAGCCCGGCAAGCAGGTCCCTACCAGCTTCAGCTCATGGACCCGCGACACGTTCGGCTACCGCCAGGCTGCTGCCAAGGAGAACTGGGAACAGGTCAACTTCCAAGTAGATGTTCGTGGGGACCACGCTGCCCACATTCGCGAGTCCGCCGCCAAGGGAACCGTCATTCTCAAGAACACTGGGTCATTGCCGCTAAATAAGCCCAAGTTCCTTGCCGTCATTGGCGAGGATGCTGGCCAAAACTCCAGGGGCCCCAACGGCTGTGATGATCGCGGATGTGACGATGGCACTTTGGCCATGCTCTGGGGTTCCGGTACTTCGCAATTCCCTTACCTCATTACCCCCGACAGTGCCCTCCAGCGCCAGGCTATCCAGGACGGCTCCCGATATGAGAGCGTTCTTAGCAATTACCAATGGGCGGCTACTCAGAGGGTTGTTGCTCAACCCAATGTCACTGCAGTCGTTTTTGTCAACGCCGACAGCGGCGAAGGCTATATCGAGGTTGACGGCAACGCCGGTGATCGCAAGAACCTCACACTCTGGAAGAACGGCGACGATCTAATCAAGAACGTCTCATCCATTTGCCACAACACTATTGTTGTCATTCATAGTGTTGGCCCTGTCCTCGTCACGGACTGGTACCAGAACCCCAACATTTCTGCCATTGTCTGGGCCGGTCTCCCAGGACAGGAGTCTGGCAACTCCATCACTGACATTCTTTACGGAAAGACCAGCCCTGGACGCTCTCCTTTCACCTGGGGTCCTACTCGTGAAAGCTATGGCACTGACGTTCTCTACAAGCCCAATAATGGCAACGATGCCCCTCAGCAAGACTTTACTGAGGGCTCATTCATTGACTATCGCCACTTTGACAAGGTGGCGCCTGGCAAGAACAGCACCGGTGCTCCTATATATGAATTCGGCCACGGTCTATCATGGTCCACTTTTGAGTACTCGAACCTCAAGGTTGAGAAGCGTGATGTCCGCCCCATGTCCCCGCCCGAGGGCAAAACGATAGCTGCTCCTACTTTTGGCAATTTCAGCACGAACCTGAAGGATTACGCCTTCCCTCCTTCTATTCGCTATATTTATCAGTTTATCTATCCGTGGCTCAACACGACGGCTTCTGGCAAGGAAGCCTCTGGTGACCCTCACTACGGCCAGACTGCGGAGCAATTCTTACCTCCCGGTGCTACGGATGGTTCGCCGCAGCCTAGGCTTGCGTCTTCTGGCGAACCTGGTGGCAATCGCCAGCTATGGGATGTCGTGTACACCGTCTCTGCCACAATCACCAACACTGGCAAGCGCGTGAGCGACGAAATCCCCCAGTTATACATCAGCCTTGGTGGCAAGAACGAGCCCGTCCGCGTTCTCCGCGGCTTCAACCGCATTGAGGGCATTGCTCCTGGACAGAATGTTACATTCCGCCACGAAATCACTCGCCGCGAGATTAGCAACTGGGACACTGCGTCTCAGAACTGGGTCATCACCAAGGCTCCCAAGAAGGTGTTTGTCGGTAGCAGCTCACGCAACCTTCCTCTGAGCGCCGACCTCAACTAAAGAGAGGAAAAAAACCGAAACAAGGAAATATATAAATCAGTATAAAACAATGCAAGTACATAGTTTCAGGGGTGGACTTGGGATATCTGAAGGGCTGCAGAACCAGGGATGATACGACGATTCAAAATGATTATATCTTTGTTAAATCCTCATCTAGCGAATGAGAAGCAATACATGGAGCTAAATGTTACTTTTGTACTAGCAAGGCTGCGTCAAGTGTTTTTGTCTGTATTGTTACATTTGACTGGCTGCACATGGGCACCCGCGCCATTGGTAATTGTAGTCCTGGGAAGGCGTCCGCGTCTTTCTTTCTATTTTTTACTTTATTTTTTTGGCCATGGCAGGCCCCTATAGCAGCTTATATCCCGCCTTAACCCAAAACATGACAATGTACGCAGCGGTAACCTGCCAGATGGCCGTCCTCAGCCACGACAGTCTCCGGTTCCGGATGAAGACGTAGGAAAGGGTGTAGGCGCACCGAGACACGAGATACCCGATGGACAGGCTGTTTAGGGTAGAAGTACCGAGCTGGGCGTAGTTGCCGACAATGACGGACGCGGCGTACAGGCCAATGGTCTCGAGGCCGTTGAGGGAGCACGCCTCTGCGCGGAGGATGCGCTGCTTGCGCTGGCGGGTTGTAAGTCAGTCGGTGGGTTTTGCTTGGGGGTGTTTGCTAGCGACGTAACGTACGACTTTGTCAATGGACGTGTCTTTTATCAGGGTGTCGCGGTAGGCGCGTGGGTAGGAATTGTCGTAGATGGTGAAGCCGGCTGATCCTACGGCGTAGAGGTGCGGGATGAGGGCGAGGCCGAATGCCGCGGGGACCTGGGGCTTGTTAGCTTGGGGGTTGATTGGTTTGCGAGAGCGAGGACGGGGAGATGGAACCGTGAAGAGGGAGAGGTTTTGGGAGAGGTCGAGGGGGAGGAGGGCGGCCATTTTGGAATCCGTGTCGTTGTTGGGATGAGGGCTGAGGACGGTGTGGGTGTCGTGGATATTTATTGCGGCCGTTGACGAGGGTGGAGGACCCTGCGTACCTGGCGGAAGATGTCAAGGTGTGGGTTATGCTTTTGTTCTGTAGTTGGATCCGCGGACTGCGGTTTGGCGAAATGCTTGGGTTTTGGCTGTGCTACTGCCCGGACGGATGCCGAGCCGGTGCTGGGATGAAATTGCCCAGGGGGATGTGTGACGGAATTGTCGTGGTTGAGGCCTTTGGACGACTTTCACATGTGTGAGTATGGCTCATTGGGGGCGCACGTGCGTGCTTGCGACTAGTGCGACTAGTTTGTGGTCAATTCATTATTTCCAATGGCCATGTCGATCATGAGGGAGATGGATTGCCGGGTTGCGGACGGGCCATCGGCGCATCGGGATCTCCGGTTGGGGCGGCGGGAATCACGGGTAGGGCTGCGTTGTGGCTTTTTGATGGCATGAGAATGTTGCCATGTTGGGTATTTTTGGAAATCGATGCCGGTTTGCATTGGTCCGGACTTGTGGCGGTTGAGTGGTCGTTTGCGGAACTCGCAAGACGTCACGTAGTTTGCGGCGCCCGTCATGTTTGTTTCGGCAGCGCGGAAGTCGGCGATGTAGATGCATTGTTGGGCGAGACAGGACATGAAAGGATGAAAGCGACGGGAAGAGAAGAGATGCAGGCAAGACCATCATGTTTGTTGAGATTTCCCTCTGAAATGACCTGCAAGTCCAGTTGTGCTACTGCCTGCTCGGCGTCCCTGTTCTCGGTCTCCCTTTCAGCGGTTTGTGTGTCAGTATATATTGATCCGCAGACACGTCCTCAAGTCATGGATTGCGACTGGATATATGTTCCGTTCAGGAATTACGGCATCTTGGCTCCAGCCCATATTGGGGAACGCTGCATGAGGGGGTGGAGATGAGAAATCTTTTACTTTGGCAGTATAAATTGATGCCTACGAACTTAGAAGATGCCGTCTTATTGTTTGCACATGTGTAGTTGATTCGTGGGGCAGGTTCACTGCCCTCGCAAACGAGCACAAGAATTGGCAAACAGTCCTGAGAATAGTCTGGGAGTGAGTCACTTTGCCATGTGACGGGACGAATGGACCACTTGAATGTAAATCACTTGACACAATTCTGAACTGGTATTGAAGCGGAGTTGAAGCAAACCGTGCATGGCCAGCAGGGCCAAATCTACTTGACCTGTTGGCCGCGGGGAGGAAATTGATACAAATTTCAAGTATAAATGCCCGCCCAATCCCCATACAAACCATGTCTGCCTTTTTCCTCACTCAGACACCTCCAAAATAGCAGGATGCTACCGGTCACCGTTCACACTATCGGCACCGCGCAATACGCAATGAATACAACCCTAACCCTAAAACAAGGGATTCACCTTCCGTACCTTACCATCAACACATCAAATGGGGGTACAAAATGTTGGCACCTACAGTCACGCGCGAGGCACTATGACATTACTGCTACGCCTGCACACTTTAGCTACCCTTTTCCTCCTTGACGCACAGAAAAGTCTCTCTCTTATTAGCTCTGCTGCAATACATGCTTGTCATTTGCACCCTCGAGCTCTTGTGACTTTGCTCATAGACCTCTCTCGTGGTACCTCACACAACAAGAGGCCCAGAGAGCCCTCTTCCAACAGGTTGAGAGGGCAGTGGTCTACGAAGACACGGCATACTTAAGTACATATGTACTAGACCCAATTGGACGACGGGAGAACGCCTGTACCCTGCAGCGGATGAGACTCAAGGAGCACACGATAGCACAGAAGCACCGCTGCACTACCATTGCCGAGTCCTGGCCAATGTCTACCTAGAGATCAACATTGCGGCGTCCAACCTGCGAGATAACCCTCACATTGCTGCTGCCCATTTCCACCATCGATTTACCACTTTCCTCCGCGATGTGCTCATTAAGAAGTTGACTGACACGGCGGCAGCGAGGAGAGTTTCACCTCAGACAAGAGCAGGCCCGACAGGAGATGAATGAATATCTTTGACTATGGAGCGCGTCTCCGTAGTTGGTTGTACGTTTCTGGGTGTTACACGGAAATCATGTTGCCAGAAAGGCACGGGCCGAACCTTGAACCCGACGATAGTTACACAAGGGCTCGGGACCTAGCTTGAGGCCCAAGTTTCTAGGCTCGCTTGCTGTTACAAACTTTATCGCAACCCAGTCTGATCTTAAGCAACTCCGAGATCAGCTACAAGGCCAGCAACTGCCACGCCGTGCTGGTGACGAACCCGATCCAACCCTATCTCTAGGCTCGATTAGGGGCCACCCCCCCCCCGGCCTCAAAGAAATACAACGACCTTTGATATTAAAGCGAATTATTAGCTGAATATGAACTTGTTCCAAGCCCCTCACACAAGCCCTTGCCACAAGATGTGTGTTACACGGAAAAGACCCAATACATCGTGAAGCCCAACAAAGGGGCCTCACCGATACGGGACTTGTTGGTTACACAGCTTGAACACGTGCCCGGGCAAGAGCCCTAGGCCCGGGCGTTCCTTTTATGTATACAAGGCGGTTACCTTTCCTCTTCTCCCTCTAAGCAACTCAAGACCTTAGAGACCCTTCGAGATTATTATCGAATTGAGCCCTTTTGCTCCAAGCCTTCTGTATTGAACCCTTGTCACAATGTGATTCTTGACCAAGTGAAGAGGCACAGAAATGAGGTATAGGACGGAGAAAAAGCATTCTGAAACAAATAGAGCCTCGGTCATAATTTTTCATACTTTCCCAAACCGCAAAGCATTGAATAAAGAGCTATGCTGAAGGAAGGGGGAAAGAAAGGCAAATTGTAACATGCGATGGGGTTGCTGGAGATGTTAAATACATAAGCATGTACGAAATAAAGTCAACTTTAAACACATCAATGATTGAAATGATGGATGTTTTCTTGTCCAATGTCGCCCTGAACTAACACTGATTAAGCCTGGCATGAGCCCTTGGTCTCTTTAATGTTCTCTGGTGCCTGTCTGGTACTAACCACGTGCACCGTCGACACTTGGCAGTTGGAACATGCCACTTGGCGTGCAGCTGCCGAGATCCAAGCAAGATCTCGACCCATTGGTGCTATCCTCAATTCAGGCCACCACTTTACCATCCAGTCTTCCTACATGTCGATGCATCTTGCCTTCATGCTCGTGATGCCCCTCATGCCTGATCGAGGTACCGCCTAACCCCCTCCCCAAATACGGGTAAACAAAGTCATCTCACATTCTTTACAAGAGCCTAGACGGTAAAATATCTCTCTTCTTTCATCGTTGGTGTAAACCTCTCGGCAGAGCACTCCCTACCGTTGGCTGTGCGTTCCAACGGCTGGGAAACGGAAATATTTCCCCGAGGCCATGCCTATATGTTCCTTCATCTGGTTCGATGGCCCGAGTTCTCTACAAGCCTGCATCCCGTGACGGGAATCAGTTACCGATTAGCAGCTACGCATTGTGACGTTCTCGCAGAGCTTCGCTGGGGAAAGGAAAACAAAAGCTTAGAGGTGAGCGAGGAACGAGAATGAATTTTGGGGGGGCGGCCGTTTTCACGCGGCATTGCACCAAAAATCGATAAGACAGCTGTCCTTTCTTAATAGTCCGTTTCTCTATGATGCCGCAGGCAGTTGGGATATCCCCATTTTGCCGGTGCTGCTACTGTATATAGCTGGTCCCGTGATCAGGGACAGAGCAAACTGAGTCGAGCAAAGGCTGATGGCAAAAGAGAAGTGACATAGTGGCCGCTTACAGACTACGATGCCTGGGCACCTCCGAAGAACGATTTCACCACCCGCCATGGGCCATCGATGAGCTGAATGCGCACTCGGTGCAACAGTTTTCGCCTTTCCTCGGTGGCCAAGTAGAATATTGGACTTTTAGCGCCTACAGACTTGCGTATTTGACCATACATGTCGCAGAGACATGCGCAAGTTTCCAAGCATGCCGACAAGCTAGTGCATTTACTCTCATATGGCTCTGCCATTATCGATGCTATCCAGAGCCCAGACCACTCCCTGGAGAGATCGCTGTCACATTCAAGCCTAGCAGGAGACAATGAAAATTTCTTCTTGGCCGTTCCGAGTTCCGGTCACAAAACTCTTGCACAATTCTGTCACACCATGCCAGAAAGGCCCAACAGCGACAGGCAATATTAGAATCGACATCTCAATACGATAAACGGACGGCGCATCGGAGGAACTGTTCGTCTTGAACGGACTAGACATGTCTGGGTAATTGCCTGTTTCGGACGAAGCTCGAATGGTATTGGCTACAGAAATGCATGAGCCCGCTTCACATGCCGGAACTGGTGTCATTGACAACGTTGCGAGAAATCTATTTCGAAACTAGCCTACTAGTCTTGTGCCATGTGCTTCTCCGTTGCACCAATCATTCGTCGTCCATCAGTTCCATCCTGGGTATCAGGTATCCCAAATTCCAACTAGGTAATTTCAAAAGTACATACAAATCCACCGCCGCACGTCTTCCCCTCATCCCATTGACATCTAGGCGACGAATGGGCGTCTCATTTGCCTTCAAGACCCGACCTTGCTGGAGCTGGAGCCGAGCTGGTCGAGCAGAATGACCTTGAGCCAGGTGGGCCAGCCGCGGATGCCGGTAAGAGAAGACTGCTTGTCCGGGATAATGAGCTGAGCACCTCGCTTCCTGAAGATCTGGTCGGTGATGACGCCGGCGACGCCGTCGGGGGTGAGCATGCGGATGCCGCCCTCCTCGAGATGGTGGCCAAAGTCCTGCACCAGGGGCGTCCGCACAAAGTTGGGGTGGGCAACCGAGGTCAAGACGCTGTCCGCCTTGTAGACGTGCTTCAGCTCAATGGCCAGCGACTCGTGGAAGGACAGGGCAGCGGCCTTGGTGGCCGAGTAGTCGGCGCCCTTGGGCAGGGCGATGAAGGAGGCCATGCTGGCCACGGTCATGATGTGGCCCTTGTTCACCTTGATC